GCGGGTTAAAAGGTATTAAAACTTACCCAGCTGGCACATCACCAGACAAAAGCCTAAAGAATATGGAAAACAATGGTTAGACAAAGAAAGGCACTGACCCCAAAAATGAATGACATGTCTAGTAGTTTGTTGGATTTGGTGCCATGTTGCAGATAACAACCAAAAAGATGCTTCTGTTGAGTAGAAGCATGTAGGGGAACTACGGCCATGTGACCACATGACCACAAGCCAACGTTTGCTCATTCTGGGCTCATGTAGGAACAATGCAGCCGGGTCTGTGAATACGACCTGCTTATATGTATCTCTAAAAGGCCCATTGAAGGTGATACACAGCACACACAGAGTTAAATTGACTGTCAGATCGTCAGTGTTATCAGTCAGTGTTAACAATTTAACTCTACTAAGTGTCACAAATAAATCTGATCAGTGTTAAATACCCTCTACGTAGAGTTAAAACCCTTGACTCTGGATAATGGCTCCAGCTCTTTCGTACAGTTGACTCTGTAACTTTTTGCAGTGTGATTTCAACTCTGCACTTCAACGCCGGATAATTAACTCTAAGAATTCTGCTGTGCACAAAAGCATTTATAATCTGTAGGTGATTCAAGTAAACTTACTTATTAGTATTAAATATCATTTTAGCCAAGAGATATTTTTCAATGCTACACTCAATGCTACTGTTCAAGATGATTTAGTTTCTGTGGCCCAAAAACCAACCGAACCCAAATTTCCCTCAACAGGGTTTAACATTTTTAACAACAAATGCACATGAATGAGTGGAAGGAACTCAGGAAGTAAAACACAGGAAGGATCCCTCCCCGAGGAGAGTGGCTGGATAGATGCAATGAGTACAGAATAGGTCACCATGGTAGGACAGCGCATGGACCATCTGGATGATACGATTAGTAATGTTACTGTCTGTTATTGAGGATTAATACAGAACCAAATCTGCATACATACCTGCTAGAATTGTGAGCCTGGTCATCTTGAGTTCTCTTCTCGCAATGCTGGAGTCCTAAAACACAAAGTGAACCAGAGTCAATGACAGAAACAACAGCAGAAAGCAAACACAGCAGCCTAGGAAGAAAAATGAAAAATAAGAACTTACCTTGTATACTCAACTCACGACCAGAGGAGAAACCCAAACATCAGCAGCAAAGTTTGGCCTTTTATACAGGTGTCTGTGCACAGGGGCCAGAGGAGGTGTAACAGCCTTTGATACATTGGGGTAATAAATGTTGATTATTAGAACGCGTTTTGATAAGATCAAGTGAAGTGCGGCTCTTTGTTCACAGCATGCATTCATACATGAAACACGCCAAAAGGCCACGTCATCGGATCGCAGACAGACAAAGATAAAATGTCAGCGTCAATATACGATAACAACCAAGTTAAAAGATATCTAACAGTTAAAATGACATAATAAAATAGACATTTGCTGAAGTGGTTATTTGTAGAGAGTGGAGAGCACGCCCGCGTATGGTAGCTCCTGTCATCAGTGTTAATGGGCGTGAATGGGTGAACAATGAAGGGTTGCGTTAAAGAGCTTTAAGCGATACAAGGGTACGAGTACAGTCCATTTACCATTTACCTGATCATTGTAAAATCAACTACTAGTTTATTTAACCTGCAGAACCACAAACGTTTAGTTCCAGTTTCATATTATTGCAATGAAATACCGAGGTTTCATTTTCAGCACTTCTCTGACAACCAGTAAAAGAATTACTCTCAGCTACAGGTCTTCAATTTAAACACGTGTGTGACTAGTGATTAACGTGCACAGCCAGTATAACGTAGCTGGTGTTAAACAATTTAATTGAAACTAAGCAAGCGATTTGCTGCGTGACACTTAATATGAATGACACGCTGCACAATAATAATGCTAATAAAAACGAATGCATCATTTGACGAATGCGTGCAGGTCAGGACTAGTTAACAGATTAACAGCTTTGATTACGTCGTCTCTATCTTTGTGGGACTTGCAACGACCGTTGACCATCGAGCTTGTTTTTACACAGATAAGTGTGGAGGTGAATGGGGCATTCAGGGACACAGCGGGCTGTGCTACTCACAAAAAAGAGAAATAATTAGAATATAACATATGTAACACAATGTTGAGATGTATAATGTGTAATGACTAAATAATGACTAATTAGATGGCAAAACAAAACATATATGAAACATAAATAAATCATCTGTTTTTAAATGTTTTATCAGGAAGAAAATGTATTAAGATATCCGCGAGGCACATACGGTTTTGGTGGCAAACACTAAATGTAAACGTTTTGTTGATGCTTAAAAGCAGCAGTTCGTAATGAAGTAGTTACTTTTATAAAGAACATAGAAAATACTCTTAAGAGAAAACGCTGCAACTTCTCACTCTGACACTGTGCTGATCATAACACAAGTACGAACAAAGCAACACCGGAAACAAGTCAAATTCACACCTTGATCACGAAGGTTTAGCTGGTTCCACGTGGCCCCTGTGCACCCAGGTCATTTATTCATCTCGCCTTAAGGTCCGTGCACAATAAGGGAGGATGCGTTCAGGTAACACACGTGACATCTACTGCACTGCGTCTGTCCTGGTGGAGGGATCCTCCGCTGCCGTTCTCCCTCCTTCTTTTCTCCCTGTTAAAGCATCTCGGGTGGAGTTCTTCCCGTGGGTTTCAGGACAGAGGGTGTTGAATGTGTACGGACCGTAAAGCCCTCTGAGGCCAATTTTCAATTTCAATGTGTGATATTGGGCTGTAGAAAATAAAAAGATTTGCATTGCACTGAACTTCACTCATTTGTGTTTATCCTTCATGCTTTTCTGGCATTCTTCACATTCTTCTCTCGTGTGTCTCAGTGCCTTTGCATTCCCCTTCAACTTGTCATTTTAATAAACTTTAGTTGATTATTTACCGACAGCAATTAGTGAAGTGGGGAAATATTACCAGCTTCACACGACAATAATATTAATGACCTGAATATATATTTATTGCTCCCCACTCATAGTTCAAAGTGCCAAAGTGCACGTGTGATACCGTAATGACTGAAGCCAAAGGTAACACCTCCTAGTGGACGTTCATCAGAGATGTGCTCCCATCACGTACATACCGAGTTGTTTGTGATAAACTAGACTGTAAACGGTCCAACGGAAAAACCAGCAATGCAGAAAACTGTTGTAAAAAGTCTGCCTTATGTTATGCTTTTAGAAAAAAATCATGTCATTTCCTGTCAACTTTTTCATGGTGAATTTTTTCCAGTCTTAGTAGTTAGCTCATACCGTTTGTTCTCGAATGGCGGAATTCTGCTGAGATATTGATTTATTATTTTGACTTTTAAGGGTCCATTCATATTTAGTGCCTTAATTCAACCTGTCTGCATGGACTTATGGTCCGAGGAAGAACTACAAGCTGTAGTCTAAACATAGATCATGACGTATGCACCATCATCATTACAACAATTAATAACCATTATTAAAATGTGTTAGATTTATTATTTAGACTATCAAGTCCAAATGTGAAGCAGAAAAGGTGAATTTCAAGCTCATCTTCCTGTTATTTTATTTTTTTGAATTTAACCACTTTATTTGAACATGCAGAAAGTTTCACATTTTATTTTTTATTGTTTTTAAATGCAGCCCTACTCTTTGTTACATTCCAATAAATATTAGCAAAAGAGTTTTAGAATCGTACTGAATTCATTTGATTTGTTAGTCAAATGAATAACAAATTTGTTTGACTATTTGACTATGTAATAGAGGACATAGAGGGATTTGTCTTGTTCTGTTTCCCTCCAGCGAGTCGTTCAGAAGCTTTGTGCATAGCGCTCCCTGCAGGGCCTGATGGAGCAGCGAGGCCGAGGTCTGCTGGCACGAGGAAGAGAAGGAGCTGCTCCTACCAGCCGCTGACTCCTTCCCCTTCCAACGGAACCGTGACGACAGGAGAAGGCTGGACCCGAGTTGATGTCAGCCATGAAAATTATTAAGAATACTTCTGTCAAACAGCCAATCATTAGGCCGATGGTCTTGATTACTGACCATCAGTAACCAGTAACCATCCTCACTCACACTCACACACCTACAGGCAATTTAAAGTCCCCAATCAACCTGATCCCCAGAGCATGTCTTTGGACTGTGGGAGGAAGCCGGAGAACCCGGAGAGAACCCACGCAGACACGGGGAGAACATGCAGACTCCACACAGAAAGGCCACTGGGCGGAGTGGAATGGAACCCAGGAGCTTCTTGCTGGGGGGCGACAGTGCTAACCACCACGCCGCCGTGCCGCCTGTTGTTGTTTTTGTATTTGAAAAAAATGACACGAATTTGAACTTTTACTTGTTTTGGATCACAATTTCTCTGACAACTTTTCAAATATTATTCTTATAGAATGTTGTGTACTGTATGACGAGGCAGATAATGTGCCTGTAACGTCTATTGAGGCCGAACAAGACTGAATGTTAATATTTCTTTCTCCCTTAAATGTTTGTATGGAACAGTTCATTACTACATGTACATTACAGGTCATTTAGCTGACGCTTTTATCCAAAGCGACTTACATTACACTTTAAACCCGCGGCTTTTCACGTCTTTCCCGGGGAGCAATTAGGGGTCAGGTGTCTTGCTCAGGGACACTTCGACTTGAGACATGGGGCAGCAGGGACTCGAACCACCAACCTTGCAGTTCCCAGCACACCCTCTCTACCCCCTGCGACAACGGTGGGTCATTGTGGCGCAGGGGATATTTAACACTGCGTATTTATGTGTTAAATACTCACACATTGCCTTTTGCCTTTTGATTTCTGAACATTTCATTCATGGTTTCTATCCCTGTAGGCATTTTATTCATAATCCAAATGAATTTAATACAGCTGCATTTGGAATTGAGGAATGGATACTGACCATGGATGAGAAACGTTCCCTTTAAACCTGAGTAATCGAATCAAGGATCAATGTAGGAAGCGGCATAACATTTGAATGTGAACTATTGAAATCATTCACATCATTCATCGGTTCAGTAGATTTTGTTTAATTTGTTGAATGAAGCTGTACAGTCGTGACACAAATAGTCACTTTCTTGTAGTCAAGCGTTGGTTCCTGTTGCAGCACGCTGGCGCTCCGGCGTCCTCGGGTGCGTTGGACATGCGTGGCCTTGGCGTGTGCGTGTCGCTCAGTTGGCCGCTGCGGGCCAGTCACAGCACTTGCAGGAGTCCCAGAAGACGAGGCCGGCCTGGCAGTGGTGCAGGTACGTGTTTCCTCTGAAACACTGGAAGTAGGTGCTCTCATTGGCCGTGTTCTCATACAGACCATCGGGGCGGCCGAGGCAGAAGTCTTTGGCGGGGTCCCTGGTGGTGGGGGGCGGTTTGGTGGTGGTGGGCTTTGGGGGAAAGCCTGCATTTTACCACGTGGAGAAAGAAGAAAAGGAAAATAGCATTAATGTAACAAACCGACACTCAACAAAGCGTCTATGAGTAAGAAAAGGTACTTATTTTTAAAGTACATTAATGCAAGACTCGACTTTAGATGTACTCTTGGCACAGTATGGACTGTTAACAAGTACTACAACGCAACCCTTAAAATAAATCACAGTATTTACCCATTGACATCCTCAGATGGTTGACCAGAGGATACGGTCCAGTTTCACAGAAGTGTCCAGGGAAGTCGTCCATGTCCAGAGTCCACACATGGGCACCTCCCAGGTTGTTGGCGGTCATCCACGAAACCTACAGGGCGAGAACATCAGCGACAGTGAAGATCCCCCAGCTGCTACTGGGACATCAGGTGGACCTTTATCGCCTCGCGAGAACGTTTGATTATGTGTCCAGTGCAGTATAACACTGGAGCTCTTGTTTACCTTCGAAGAAATGCTGCGCTCGTCATCATAGCCCACCCAGGCGCTTCCGAAGGTGGCGTAAGGAACCTCCTGCTCAGCGATCCATCCATTGACGGCACTGGAGGTGAAACCACAGATCTGGTAACACAGGAACGTAATCGGAAGGTCAACGCGAGTTAACTTTGATGTGTGTGATTCAGTGTTTACGCTCTATCCCGTCTACTACTGCGCAGACATGCCGCCGGCTGCGCCTTACCTCATAGAAGGCCCACATGCCTTTAGTGCGGGTGTAGGGTCCGGCATCGGCGCCGCCGTTAGACGGAGCCCCCAGGCCGTTGGCGCTGCCGGCGAGGCGGAAGGTGCGGCCGTAGGTGGGGATACCCAGGAGCAGCTTCTCGGCCGGTGCTCCCAGAGCCAGCCAGTGGGAGATGGAAGAGTTCTACCGAGAAGAAGGAGACACAAACACAGTGTTACTGGATGAAATGGAATGTAAAATGTTTCCCAGGATTGTCGATCTTACTGTGAATACGTCAAGCAGTGGAGGGGCTGACATTCACATACTGAATAAAAACATGATAATAGATGATCTTGTCTTTTAGATTAGCAACGGTGAAGGTTGTTTTCCTCCACCACATTATGGACAAGCTAACAACACTCAAACTAATATAATACAATGTCAAAGAGTCTGTGTGGTTTCCATGAGTCCGTCTTTTTGTCTCTTTGTCTTACGATGTTGCGATCGCTGGCTGAGCCGGAGTCGGCGGAGCTGCGGTAAACTGGGCTGTTGTGACCAGTAGTTTTCTCCCAGTGTCCATGGTAGTCGTAGGTCATGACGTTGATGAAGTCCAGGGAGCTGTTCAATTTAAATCAGCAGAAAAAGAAGATAAATTGTCGATGAAGGAAGTGAAAAAGTACCCACAATTCATTTTGTTTAACAGTAAAAGCTGTTTCGCCCCAAGTTAGCCAAATTAGCACGGAGACGTCTACAGCTAACAGCTGGTTAGTCGGGTATCTACAAAACTAGGCGCAAGGAAGCGTTTCTGAATGCATACCCTCCTTTCCACCCAACTAACGAGTCTTAACATGCACTGAAACCCAACTTACCCTGCGATCTTATTGACTTCGTAGGCTCTGTCGATGGTGGGACGGAGAGAAGCCACGTTGGCCGAGAGCAGCAGCTGAGTCTTCCTTTCTTCCTTGGCTTCGTCCTGAAAGGCCTTGGCCAGTTCCTGCAGAATGGACAAAGAAATAGTAGAAATCCGAACCTGAACATGAACACAGTCATCCTTAAATTAGTAAGTAACAGTAAGTATCAGGCTCAGCCCGGTTTAGTGCTAATTAGCAAATAATGACATGCGTCACTATGATGGGGATAAGGGTTCACTTCCAGACAGAAATGCATGCGTGGATCTGGCTCAAAGCTTTCAGAAGCTTTGCCATCGGAATCCTTTTTATAAATGTTACAATCATGTAAAGGTCCAACACTAATGGCGTTACGGCGGATTGAAATGCAGCTATTGGAACTGACTGTGGGTTTAAATGCTCACCGTGACCAGCAGCGTGAACCTCTCCCTGTCCGTCGGCGCGCTGCCATTCTCTCCAGGATATTCCCAGTCCAGGTTCAGCCCATCAAACTTGTGGGTACGGAGGAAGCTGATGGCCGACTTGATGAAGGTGGCGCGGCCCTCGGGCCTGGCGACCATGGCGACAAATCTGGCGGGACGCAGGAAAAAAAGATCTCCGTCGAATCAGCCTTCTTTGTGAGAAGAGAAGACGGAAGTGTGAGGAGGACACGGAGGCAACTCACGGGCTCAATCCATTGACTGTTCCTCCGACCGTCAGAAGAGTCTTCAGGGCAGGATTACTGACAGAGAGAGAGAGACACCTTAACTGATGTCACCACGCCAATGAACAACACGACTTTATGCTCAAACACCATCCTGATTCCACTTGCTGACGAATACTCACAGGAGTTTAGATAAAACGGGGCTTCGCTGGGCGACTCAATGCCTTTCTGACGTTCGTTCAAAAGTTAGAGCCGGTTTTGGTCTTGATTCAGCTTTAGATTAAAGGTCCACTCACACGTTCTTGAGGTTGTTGAGCCGGATGTACTGATCCGCGTCGTTCCACTCGATGGCGGTGATCTGGTTGAAGCTGTTGATGCCGGCCAGAGCGTAGATGACGTGCGTGCACAGGAAGGGGTCCACGTTGTCCGGAGTGAACTTGGCGCTGCTGGGCCTGTACTGGGCCCAGTTGGTCATGTGGCACACCAGTTTATTGGACGAGGCTGAGGGAGGACAGTGGGGGGGGGGGACAGCGTTAGGACATACCTGTCGCGGGAGGAAGAGTCGATGCCTGAACAGACGTGACGCTTACCCATGTGCAGACCGAGCAGAACGCCCAGAGCTGCACAAACAGAGAGAAAGATTTCACTTGATTAGAAACACATTTTGTGTTACAATAAAACATTATAACAAACTAGCATGGACACGCTAATATGTTTGTAACACAGTAACAATATTAATAAATAGCTGAAAAAAATGTATCTGAATGGTTAAAATAACAACTTCACAATAACAAAAGAACTGAATGCCGTTTCATTTTTACCAGCCTTCATTCAGATTATTATACAAGAAGCTGAATCAAAGCAGGTGAATGACTTAAAGAGAAGAGGACGTCTTGCGTCTCTCTTGGAGTTTCATGAAATGTAAAATGTATCTGTGTAGTTGTTACTGTCTTAGTATGTTGAATTAAACACATAAATTGAGTAACTGATATTCACCTGTGAGGAGTTTCACCATCGTGCTCTCTGAAGATCCAACGTATTTCTATAAGACACACAAATATCATGTTAGCTTTGTCTTCGCTCAGGACATTTTTCAATTGTGCATCTTTTTTTCTCAGACAGAATTAATCATTTTGGTCGTTTAGTTTGTAATTCAATGAGTTCATCAGTCAATGATGAAAACAATTGTTAGTAGTAGGCCTGCAGCCGCTAACATTAGCCGTACAATGCAACCGCTCTCACAGAACATGCGAGGGTTTGCACATAAAGCAGCTAAATGCTAGTTGTATACAGGACGGATGCAAACATGGCGACAATCTCGTTACCTTTCTTCAAGAGGAAGCGAAGCAGAGTCCACAGCTTGGCGGCGTTGGGTCAGATTTATATTTCGCTCATTAATAACTAATAGCTGGTAGCAAAGTGCAGCTGATAAGCGGGCGGGAGTCTGACTCACAATCACCCCACTTCCAGGTACGACGGGGCGAAGCCCAGCATGAATTGGACATGCAGGGAAATGATCAGTCCGTTGATAAAAGCATGTGAGGTAAACCGCCTGGAACATCGGAGTACAACCTCAGCTCCACCGAGCAGTAACATCCTGAACATCTTTGCAACTTTCTTTTCTGTTTATTGAGTGAACATGCTAACTATCTTCTGCTTTCAATGACTACAGGGTGTGGAATCACTGCCGTATTTGGATAGCTAATAACCTCTATTCTGACCTTTCATATGTCAATATAATCAAGATTATGAGGGTGAACGTAAAAACACACATATTACTCAAATACAATCCCAAAGTGTTTATTCGAAATCATATTTACAAGTAGCACCCCTCCCCCGACGCCTACCTCACATTTCAACGCAATCACAATTATGAAAAGGGCCACATCATCCAGTGCATTGAGCCTTCGACCACCGTGAGTGAGTGATGAGTGAGTCTGCCAGGACATTCGGCGTCGTGGCACAGAGACGGTGAAAATACGCGTCGGCTATTCAATAAAGACTAAAGGCATTGAGAAGTAAGACACAAAACTCAACGGTTCCGAGAGCATCTTCACCTCCTGGAACAGAAGACAGAAATGAAGACAGTGATAATAGTAAAAAGGCTTTAAACCATTGAGACCAGTGTAGAAATGATTGTGGGCCCACAGGGGGACCAAGCCGAGATCTCCCAGCCACAAATACCAGTGTACACTGGTCTAACCCAAATGTATACTTCAGTTCAAGATTATGGGGGCAATAATAATGACTGTCTACAGCTAATACCCTAAAAAGGGTTAAAATATGGGACATTTTGCTTTATAGTATTTATAGAAATTGATTCCAGAAAATGTTCTAGTTGAGAGCAAAAGTGAAAAGCATGTAATGAAAAGTTAATGTTACTGATTAAACTAAAATCAATCTCATGTCAGTGTCATTCTTCGTCATCATTCAACGTAGGGCTGAAAATAAGTAATAACTTTTAACATTTTGAGTATTACATTGCTGACAGCAAACAGGTCCAATAGGAAACTCCATCAGAGAACAAAGGCAGCAACAAAAGAGAAAACTCGTGAGCACCGGAGGTCCGTCTCTGACCTGCTGACCCCACGTGACCCGCACAGGACAAATGAGCGTGAGCGGCACGTCCTTCCTGTGAACGGCAGTGAACCAGACATGTTACACAATGACTGATTACAATGAGGACAATATATGTCACCCTGTTAACTATTCTCTGATAACTTTGGCAACCAGCTCTTTCATCTGAAGCGGGGGGGGGGGGGGGCTCATCCCGTTTCATATTAACCCGCCAGCATAAAAGCAGCTGCAATACACCCAATTAACACTGAACAGAAGCATTTGCACATCGTTGTTGAAACCATTTAAACAATTGAGGCCCATCAAAATGCAAGCAAATAATTAAATACTCCCTTCTTCGGTCCAATTTAACCACCCCCAAAATGAGACATAAAAAGTATAAAATGTAAACATTCATTTGGACCGGTGACAATTCTCTCTAGCTTTCCATAATTACAGCTGAGACAAAACACAAACAAGCAGAAAGACATTAGCAGGAGCTGAAAAGTCATGATAACAAGTGTAACGTTTTAAAGTGGTTCTAAGTTCACACTGTGAGCAACAAGACGTACAAAGATCCACAGGGACGCTGCTTTCCAGCTCCATAAAAAAAGGCCTCGCACAAATATGTTCACAGGAAAAATAAAAAAAAGTGGAGTTTGAAGTTTACGAGCTAAAGCTGCATTATAAAGTTCCACGTTTTTCACAATATGAGGAACAGTTACTGTAGAATCAACCCTTTACCGAGCCCCGCCCCCTGCTGGGAGCCCCCCCCAGCTCGTCAGCAGCTAGCATAGCATAGTAGTACCAATACCAGCTGATGATGTGCTAACGTTAGCTCTGTGGGCTAGCATCCCTATTTCACCATGGCGAGCTACAGATCATGGAGACGCTATGAGAGGAGGAGCTGAGATAAATCATCGCCGTCTGTGCTCCGCTGTGATTGGCCAGGCTCATTTCCAGGGGCGGGGCTTAGCGAAGGCTCAATAACGGCAGTACTTATAATTCAAAATGAGCTTACCTCCGATAACCATTCAGAAAAGGTCAAGTTGTTCTCAAAGTGGACCGAACGGGCAGAAACGCATCACGTGTAAGACATGTTCAGACTGTATGTACACAACTTATGCACGCCATCAAACCATGGAGAATTTACACTGACGTCTGGGTGTCGCCAGCTCCGGTTGGGAGGACGCAGGGATGAGACGCGTCGGCCACATGTGTGATGGTTCTGCTAAGGCAGGTTTTTTTAACACGACGCGAGTACATAAATACAAAACCGGGCGGGGACTCCCTGCTCCCCCCAGACCCCCTCACTTCGCCCGGGCTTTAAAGAAAAAAGGCCCTCTGTATTTTTATTATTCAAAAGAAATGAAAAAAACGGAAACCCCATCATTCCTCGCCCGTCCAATCCCTGAACACCTGAACGCACCACGAGCCGAACCACAGGCCGACCCGCAGTGTGAAAGCAAACAGTCCGGTGATTGGCCGAGATCACAGGCCCAGCGCGAACAGAAGCAGGCCGCTGAGGAGGTGGAGAGGGGGACTGCACCGCGGGGAGGGGCCCCCGTTCTGCACCATCATACCAGTTCCTGTGTGAGGGACACAATGGGACAGGTGGATTTGACAAGGTGGGGAGTTGCTGAACGTGGGTGTTTCCAGCGCGCTGGAGGACGTCTCTGCACCGGCTGTGATCTGTAAGGACTTTACTGTGCTATCAACTTGAACCGTGTAATAAACTCTGTCCAATGTCTGTTTCAGATACTGCTGACATGTTTATGATCAGATTAATATATATATATATATATATCCTAATGTTCCTATCTATAAGATAACAGGCACAGAAGGTTGCTTTGTCTTAACCCCGAGGCACAGATTGAGAACAGCGCGTGCACGTTTCACCCCTCCTGCTCTCTGCTGTCACGTACACTGTTTAAACTGGGAGACCTGATGGTGAGCATTGGTACTGGTTGACCAGAAGTCATTAACAAGTTGCTGGGCTGCAGATAAAATCATACATTGTAAGAAAAACAACATATTTATGTCCGCAGCTTCCCCCAGCAGATTCCCAAACGACTTTGGCTCACACTGTGGTATCCGTATGATCTCTGGCTGTACTGGGCCGCTGTAGACTATTCAGTTGGTTCCTTGTTAGCAGATTTAACACATGAGTGCTGCAGGGCTGTTTTATCGCAGGATTACGGCTGCAGATCCACTTATTATCCCTTCATTTGATCATTAATGTACATTTCCCTCTGCTTTTTACTCATTCGTGCATTCAACATGCACGTCTCAGTTCCTCACCTGAGTCCCGGGACACAATGATCTCGTGCGCCGGCCCGTCCCCGCCTTCTCCCCAGGACCGGACCTCCAGCACGACGTAGCTGTTGTCTTTTGGCAGCGGCAGGCTCATGGAGGTCTTGGCCTTGTCCAGAACCTTCAGTGAGTTCTGGCCCTCGTGTTTGTACAGAACCTGGCACACAGAACACAAGTTTTAGGGTCAGACGTTGAGGTCAAGGCCCACGAGGTATTCTTACTATAACAGCTTTCGTTAGAACAAAAGGACCATTGATACAGCTGTTATCTACTGACGGTCCTGTTTTCCCTGATAAATGAGCTGATACAAGGCTCATTAACGTAATCTTTGCTTTCGTTAGAGACTTTATTGCTTCTGATGTATCTCACATGTTGTCTCATTCGTACTAAAGTCAAATCAGGCTGCATAGATCTTCACTCCGATTTATAATGTTTGTGTTGGAATTCAAATCGACCAGTTGTGACTGGAAGCCACTTCTGTCTTTAAGTCTTCATAGGGAAATAGAAAGTGCACCACATCATAAGAACCTTTGGCTAGTCGTTTTGCAAGCATGTGACAAAAGAGAGTGGAACTAAGTTCATCCAAAGTGCTGCAAATAACTGCCAGTTAACAAGTTAATGTTGCCGAAAACACAGACAACTAAACTAAACTGCACAACGCAGTGTGAACCAGCCCGAAGTGCCGCCCTAAAACATGCCCGACTTTATGGTCCGTTTGAGTCTGAATGGTTCATCATTTAGGAATCAGGAATCGGGAAGTGAACCTCATGCTGTATTGAAGAAGTTAGAGACCGTGAACTCACGTTCACAATGTTTACTGAGAGAAGTAGAGTCATTTTCGGCCACGCTTCACTTTTCCAAGCTGAGGTTTCCCCGTCAAGTTAAGTTTACTTGAATAATTCCTCATATGAGGTACTATAATATTCAAACAATAAACGAGTGCACTTATGCCAGGCTTGTTTATTACTGATGATTTATTGTCCCAGAATTTTACCGAGTGAAACGTCTGTAAGACGTAAATATTCTGGCACACGTCCCATGTCAGGTTTTGAGGACGTCCCACGTCTCACCGCTGTCTCTCAAGTCTTAATTTGTCACCGGTCACTTTGTCCCTGCGGTCCGAGCAGAGTTTATGGTTAAGTCCACACATACCTTGTAGCCCAGTACCGCAGACTCATTGTGCATGGCCTTCACGTGATCCCACCTCACCGTCACCGACGAGCCGTCGGCCTTCCATGACACGTTGCCCGGCCGACGATTAGGAGCTGTGATGGAACAACAACATTAACTAACTGTTGAAAATAGAAGGAAAAAGTTCTGATTTTTGTTCTTGCAAACAATAGGAGCTAAACAGGCTTTTTAGAAGTACTCTAAAAAGGTGCACGGTGTACGTTTTGGCCGTTAAAACATAATAATATTGGAGTAATATAACGTAATATAAGTAATATATGAGTGTGAAGAGCAGGGGTGTCAAACTCATTTTAGAGGGACAATTCTGGTGAACCCGTCCCTCTGTGTGACTTTGTCTTTGCTCGGTGTGCGGCGGCCGTACGTGGTTTCCTGGTGGTGACTGTGGTGCGTGGCGAGGGCGGCCCGGTGCCGGCGCTGTTGTACGCCAGGACGGCGACGTGGTACCGAGTGCTGGGTCGCAGGCCGGACACTCGGGCTGTCGCCTCCAGTCCCGCCGTCCGCACGCGATCCGCTGCTGCTTCACGCTCGTGCTGCCGCCAGTAACGGATCTGAGGACACACGCGGACGCCAAAAGACACATTCACAGTCCCAATACGCTCCGAATACGCTGTCACAGCAGCAGGTGCACTGAGTCAATGTTCTGCCCTTTGCATTTCTTGTCTATGTATTTGCATGAGATGCACGCAGCTCGTCACCTCATATCCTCTGAGGATGCCGTCGGCGCTGAGCTGCTGGACGGGCTCCCAGGACACCTGGATCTCAAAGGCGGTCAGCGCCGTGGCGTTGACGCCTGACGGTCCCACTGTTGGCTCTGTGGGGAGGCGGTGAGACGGAGGACTCAGCGCGTGCAGACTGACTGTGGTCCATCTACTACGAGCTGCTCTCTGGTGGTGGCAGAGGGGACTGCAGGGACGTGTGTCCTCTACATGTTGCATGGTTTATCTCACTATTATTTCATTAATAAGTCGCCATCCGTTATAATAATATGGTGATTAAAAAAAAAGCGTGGGCAAAATCTCCATGACAACGGTGCTCTGTGCTAATTTTGGCCTATTGAAACTAGGTATTTCCCTGCGGCTTCATTCCGCCTATTGTCAATTAAGAGGTACTTTAGGAGCCGATGGAGTGCTCTGGGATTCTCCTGTGTCCTCCTTTCATTACCATAACTAACTACAAGCCCAATAGTCAATATTCATAAAACTAGGTTCATAAGCTGCTCCGTAAGCCGACGTGTCCTGGAGGAGAAGCAGCCAGAACCCGGCGGCTAAACTCACCCTCCTCTGCCGAGTAGACCAGAGCGATCTGGCTGAACGGACCTTCTCCTCGGCGGTTGAAAGCTTTGATCTTCACCTCGAAGGGACTGTACGGCGCCAGGCTGTCGTTGTAGTAGACGTATCGGGACGACTCCACGTGAGGGACACGCACTACCGTCCAAGGTTGTGTATCCTTCTTCCTGAAGGCAAGGACGTAGACGAAGCCATCGCCGTTCTGGTACTCTCGGGCCATCGGCTGGAAGGTACAGCGGAGCATTAAGACGTGGCGCCCACGCAGACAGGGGGCCATCTCACTCAACCCCCCCAGTGGGAGTTTGGGGGATAAACTCCAAAGGTCTCATTCTTTAATAGAATGCATTGAACTGAGTTGTCTTACTCAGTCTTACTGAATATGTTCCATAACCGCGCAGGTATCATGTGACGCTCCCACAGTGAGTGCAGGACGTTTCAACAATTCTGTCTCCAAGCATTCTGAGAGGAATAGTGGTCCTTACCAAGACATGAGAAAACATAGTAGTAAACTTAAGTTAACCAGTTTCATTTGATCCAAATAGCGACAGAAGGTCAGGACACCTCGGCCTCCTTATGTAACTTTTAACAAAAGTGTTCTTCTTTAAGTGAACTACAGCTTTTTTATGTAACAAAGGGGAACGTTTACAATAAACTACGCAGTCATCCACTCACCGTCCACGTCACAATGAGTTCGTTGCTGTCTCCTCCTCCTCCTCCAAGACCACTCGGGGCCACAGTGGGGGCTGAGGGCCAAATATACCGACACAAAATCATATAAATGACATAATCCAAGTGTGGATCAGTGAAAAGTAGCACGGACTAACATGATGCCTCCAGTTCCTTCGCCCACACACTGAATGATTATTAAACGTGATTTGTTTAACTGGCACAACGTGGCTGTGAACGTGGCACGGCCCTGAGCTGACAGCTCGGTTGGCCCGGGCAGCTGAGTGCAGTCTGACTCACCTGCTTGCTGGGTGCGGATGGTGTGGGAGGGCATGCTGGGCTCTCCGCTGCCCAGGATGTTGCTGGCGATGACCTGGAATTCGTAATCCATCCACGGCATCAGTCCCATCACACGCGCCGACTCTGCATTCCCCTCGATGTTTACTGGGTCTTTATTCCAATGAGAGCACATGTGAGGCATCGATGATCAATAACCCGTCTCGATGAAAAGATATTCGTTGTGATCCATTTAGAAATCAAAATGTTTTCAAAATCATTACACACACACACACACACACACACACACACAGACACACACCCACCTGTCCTCATCTTTTTCCACTCCGACGACAGTGACGATCGGCCCATGATGACATATTTGCCGATGGGACTGTGGTTATCGTAGCCACGACTCCACCGGAGCTCCACCGACGTCTCGGCCACGTTCTTTATTAGTAAACCTCCAGGAGGTCCCGGGGGACCTGGAGACAACACAAAGATGGTATTGATTCAATGAGTAAACGGAATGATTCGTATCTCAGAGCTCCATGACGAAGCTTGTGACCCACGGTGAGACAGCAGCACACACCGTGTGCAGCAGCTAGTAGCCCATGAAGTTAGTGGAGTTTCCATTAAGTTGCATTAAGATGTGTTCAAGCTCTATTCAGTAAAAATGAGTGTTGATCAAAGGACAGTTACACAATATAGTGTTTGAGCTTTTTACAACATCATCAGATCGGTCTTGTGTCTGCCAATACTCAAGTTCTGGTACCAGAGGTGGGTAGGAATAAACTGTACTCTTTAACACCAGGTATGATTGACTCAGAAGAGGTCACGTGATCTTACCTCGAACCACTAATTTGGCTGAAGCTGAAGCGCTGTCCACCACAGTCTGAGCTGCGCACGTGTAGACGCCTGCTTGACTCAGCTTGGCGTTCACGGCCAACAGGTCGCCGATGTTTTCCTTCTGCAGGCCACAGACAGAGAACACGAGTCACACACTGTGGCACAGGCACCATAAGACGCTGCGTGGATGAGTTCATTGTCGAGAGACGCGCCGCTGGCTACCGGCTGAGCTCCATTAAAAACACATCGCTGCGCTACGAGAACATAACCGTCCCTTAAACAACATGCTGAGCGGTAGTTGGTTTTGCAGTAATTTCACGACAACTGCCAACACTAACAACCTGAAAGGTAACCATGGCGACATCTCCACCCGGCCTCACGGGACTCACCCCCTCCACCCGGTGGTACGGTCCGGCCGAGTCCTCCAGGTCCAGAAGGACCCCGTTGAGGGCCCAGGTGAAGGTCAGGTCCATGGTGGGGTCGTGGGAGGCGTGACACTGCAGCGTCACGTTCTCCCCTTGGTTGATGTCGGCGTTGGAAGGAGCCAGCGTGATCTTGGTGGCGTCTGCAGGGAAGTGAATGCTGGCTCAGATTCAAACTAGCAGGGTTCTGAGGCGCCCTGGTTCTATTGAATACGCCTTAGAATTAGAAAGAACCAGGAAACGCAGATGGCTGCTGTCAGACTTTACGGAGTCATTTATTGCTCAGGAAGGTTCCTCACTGAGTGAAATGGGTCCTTAGTCCTGTTAGCTCAGGGTGGTGCCACGTTAGTTATTTACTTAGTGTTAATTGTCTTATTATCTATTATTAATATTTCTATTGAAGTCAATAATTCAGTTTCACACTTGCTATTAACCACAGACGATCCCTGGCCTTCCCAACAGTTCTTCAGTGTGTGTGTGTGTGTGTGTGTGTGTGTACCTCTGACAGACAGGTGTCCGGTGCTGTTGGCTTTGCCCAGGTAGTTCTCAGCAAAACAGGTGTATTTCCCTTCGTCTGCCCTGCTGATGTTGTTGATCCACAAAACACCATCTGGAGTAACGGTGACTCTGGAAAGATTTACGGAGGGTTGAAGCGTATAATACTAACACCAACCATTTCTTCAGCTGTGATCATAGAACATGGACCTCATACCTTCCCCCCCCCCCCCCCCCCACCACGATATAATGGATGAACAGAAAAGCGTCGGGGGATTTCTTTGATGTGTTATCTACATCTCCCTACAGCACAAATGACTTTCAGATTGATTTCTTTAATAAGCTGCCTCCGTCTATTGAGTGCTCGCTCGCTCTGCAGACGATGACATCACTGCAGCGGCTGCGGTTTCTCCCCTGAGTCCCGAGCGCGGAGCGGCGAGCGTTGGAGACGGTGAGACTGTGGCAGTGAAATCAATGTGAAGGCGAGAGGCGCCGGGTGCCGTGTGAGTCGATTCTGAAACCGGAGACTTTCAGTAAGGTGACATTCGCATCATCATCACTGGTACTTCACCACCTTCAGGGTCACACATCACCTGGACATCCATCTGCATTCAAATGAATTCTACTAATTCTACTTTTACATTTGGGGAGAGGGACATCGCATACATGCAGACATGTTAGACACCCGTCAAGTCCGTTACCTGCTGCCGTTGGTGAGCAGCTCCGTCCCGCGGCTCCAGAACAGACTGGGCTTCGGAGCAGCCCGAGGGCGACACTCCATCATCACCTGCCCCCCTCGGGCTGCCGGGATCAGCCTCCTCACCGGGTTCAACCTGAAGTCTGGGGCCTGAACTGGAAAGACGGGAAAGGCGGGACCACAAGCAGGTTGATGGATGGGATGGAAAAGGGAAGCGGGATAGTGGGAAACTGAAGGCCTTTGACTTGAGACTAGAAAATGCTACCGGATCAAATGCTACTGAAGTTAAATTTACTTGCATGCATGCAAGTCAAATTGGCAACCAACCAAAGCCTGGTCTAAAGTATCCTGCTGTTCTTTTAGTATTAGCAAGATGCGCCTGTAGAGTGCTTGTTACACACACTCTGCTCCTCACTTCAGTAAAGACAATATGACACTCGTCAACCCGAGACGAGTCTAAGAATGGTTAGGACATATAAAGATACGCTGATGTTATAAATATAACAAATTTAGATTTAGATCACTTGGTCAAAGGGAATTGGAGAGATTGATCTAATTAATGCCAAAACACGGCGAGACTCCACAGACTTCCTTTGAGCCCAGACCAACGAGCAGCAGTGTTTAAATAGGGCTCTTTCCGTTCTTTACTGATGGAGCTCTGCAGGTTCTCCTTGGACTTCTACCTTGGACTCTGAGCTCAGCGGTGGAGTAGACGGTGCCATGTTTGTTCTCCGCGACACACTGGTACATCCCAGAATCCTCCAGGGCCAGATTGCTGATCCTGAGACGAGCGCCGTTCACCTCGACCCGGTCCTGGGGAGAGAGAGAGAGAGGAGGAAGTGAAAGACGGCATATGGGAGCTGTGAAACAGAGTATTTATAAATATCAGCCCCTTTCTGAAGTTATTTCTTGTGTCTTTGTGTTTGTTGTGTCATCACTTTTCATCTGTCTTTGCATCGCAAGTATTTGTGTGTGTCTTTGTCGGTGCTTTGTGCCTGAATAACATCCCTGAACGTGTCACAGCCCTCATTAAGATTATTTTTCAAAAGCAACCTAAAATAATACACAATTCCTTAGTCATTAGTCACTATTACCCACACTTGAGCTCCTAAAAGTGAATTTACTGCCAATGGGTTTCCTGTTCCTGTGTTCCACGTGTTGAGTGTGCAGGTGCACGATGCGGTGAGTCAGCACCGCCCGTGTTACCTGTGTGCTGAGCGGCTGGCCGTTGCGTAGCCAGCGTACGGAGGGCCGCGGTTTACCGGCAGCGATGCAGCTCCAGAGAAGCTCTGAGCTGATCTCCACCTCTGAGTCGCTCATCACCTGCAACCACTCGGGCTGAGCTGGAGGTTCGGAGGAAGGAGGCAAGGGAAACGTACGATGAGACGCATTACAACCACAGACCCGTGACATTGCTGGTGTGTGTGTTGTGTTCTTCATCCACACACGCTTCACATTCATGCCGTCATCCGGGTAGTTTGCACAAATGAGCAGTGGACATTTGGTCACAGACTTGTCTCTCTGCGTGCGGTCTCCCTCCAGATGTTCTGTACCTTGCACGTTGATGCGACCTTGGTGGGTGTCACTGCCCTCTGAGTTGTACGCTTCACATTCGTAAAGACCCTCATCATCGAAGGAGAGGTCTGGCAGGATGAGGATGGGGGCCTCGGCGCTGGAGCCCGCCTTGGAGGGCATCAAGCCGTCCACTTTCCTCCACCGAAGCTTTGGGACCGGACTATGAGACAGAAGAAGAGGTCGAGGTGAAGTACAGGAGGAGTTGCACAATGACGGAGCGAGAAAAGGAAGAAGTGTTTAAAAAGTTTCAGGGGACGAAATACAAGCGAGAAGTCCAAAGCGGGACGCGGCCCACTCGCTTACCCGTAATACATCGCAAACATTTGGTGCTTTCAGGGCGGGGGACTTACTTTCCGTAGGCGAAGCACTCCAAGTGGGCGGCGTGTCCTGCCAGCGTGTACGTCTCTGCCGGGAAGCGCACTTTGATGCTTGGAGCGGATTTCCTGGGATTGGCTGGAATTAAATACATAATGAAAACATCTTTAATAGTGTTCCGTATATACATCTGAGTTTGACACACAAACATACTCATTCACACTACTGCAACTCTCCATTTCTCCTCATTGCTGGTGCTAATTGAGCGTGGGCGTCCTGCGTACCGTCGGGCAGCGCGGTCAGCTGGATGGCCTTGCTGAATGTGCTCTTGGTGCTGATGTCCATGTTGATGGTGGTGAAGCAGAAGTAGTTTCCGGTGTCGTTTGGCTCCGCTTTCGCCATGTACAGGTTCCCTGTGACCTGCGACACAAACCAGCGGTCGTCGTCCTTCTTGATGAAGTTGGGGAAGTCGTTGATCAGCCAGCGGTACGACAGAGCTGCAGAGGAGACGTTCATCAGTGGCATAAAAGGTATTTTGTACCTTTAAAAAGTACTATGCGTGTTGATCCAACGGGACAAAATCTACTTTTTTATTTAAAAGAATTTGCCGCGACACTGGACTAATCGACTGGCGTGAAACCCTGAGGTGGAGTGGCGGGGATACCTGGGTAATGTGTGGGGGGCTGGCAGGCCAGGAAAGCTCCGACGCCTTCATACGCTGTCTGAGGACTCCTGCTGTCTGGAGGAAAGTCATGGAGGTCTGCAGGAACAAAAGGTTATTGTCACACACAGGCCACTGTGACCGACTCATACAGCTAAAATCGCCGCTCCAACTCACAGCCAAATTTGAGGTTAGCTGCTCGGCTGATGATGGTGCCACAGCGGTTAATGGCCAGACACTGATAGGATCCTGTGTCTCGAATGGACTCGGGGCTGCTGATCACCAGGTTGCCAGCAACCAGGGTGTAGCGCAGGTCCAAACCCAGCGGGACCTCGGTGCCGTTCAAAAGCCATCTGCAGAGAGAAAAACATAAAGGAAAATGTAAAATGCTGTTCTGAGGAATGGGTTTTGTTTGCACGTGTGTGTGTGTGTGTGTGTGTGTGTGACGGACCTGTAGGACGCAGCGGGACTCGCTCTGGCCTGACAGCTGAGGGTCACCTTGCCTTCGCTCAGGCCTTCTGGGTAGATCAAACTGCTGGGCTGTTCCTCAAACAGTGGCCCGCTGTCGTGACCCGACACACACACGTCTCCACCTGCAAACATTTTCAACCACACAGCAGTTACACACCTACCCCTCCTCCAGAGACGTCCCAACGGCGAGGACATACCACTGTGTCCCAGAAAACGTTTAGTTTACACTTCGACTGTAATTCCTTCCTATTTTTTTTTTTTACTCATTAACTTTTCTCTGGGTGAGTTTCCAGTTGCTCTTTAATTCTGTAAAATGAAGACGTGTGCGTTGAAGAAAAACGCTCCCCTTTAAATATATTTATGCTGGGAAACGATTAATATTTGTAATCACAATTAACTGCAGGATTTTCTGCAGTTAATTCAGAATAATCTCATTACTATTCTAAAGTTCCAGTAATGTCTTGGGCACTCTTATTTCACAGGTACTAATATATTTAGTATTTGGGCATTAAAGTGTTAAAATGTAGCAAAACATATAACGGGCACTTTCTGAGCAACAGCAAGTTAACATGAACAATTATTAACCAGGAGAAAAATGTTTCTCTTTCTGTTGTCAGTGAGCAGCATCAACAGCCTGTAGTCTTACTTTCCAGGGTCAAATATTTGGAGTTGTGTGAAGAAATAATCTCTGGCTCTTTGGCCGATATTTCAAGCCCTTTGTGAACCCTTCCTACAAAGTCAGCCACGGATGTGTGAAGAAACGGAATCCATTAAATCTGTTCATCACCAAATCTGGTCCCAAAGCGAGGCAGGAATCTCTGTACTGCTCACAAAAAACGATGTTCACGCTTCACATCGTTCGCAAGGACACAATCTCCTCTCTTTTCAAAGGGGTTTTGTGTGTTATATTGATATATATCTTCACCAGTAACATATGAACTGGTTTGTACCCATTAGACCACTCTCAGAGGTTCCCCTTCATCCTGACAGAAACAGCCTGCAGTTATTTGATATTTGCCACAGATCTTGAAGTGGCTCAGTGTGGAAATAAACTCGCTAACCAAGAAGCACGTGAAACTTGAATCTTAGGTGTTGCGTGTCAAGTCTACAAACCTGTTTTTAAAAGATTTGTAGTGCAACGCATGCTCATTGCAGCCACTAATACTGATAAAACCTGTGAGAAAACAGTTCTGGATGCTCTGTATCCCAAAGTGCAAAAGCTAGAAACCCCCCATCAACCCCTTTATGAGCCCAATAATCCGCCTGTATTATGTAGTCTGGTCTGGAATGCAGGTTTAATGGGGGAGATGCATCTTTGAGAGAGCAGTCAGACCGTCTTTGAAGACGGATGTAGAGAACATCATTGTCCGCCGTAGTAAAGCTGCCCACAGAATAGAACACTACACCATGTCATGCCCGTGCCTCTGCTGATACCTCACTACATCATTTGTTTGCCGGAATACAAGTAAGATAACCCAGGAGACATTTTTAAATTTAATGAATTCCATTAGCACGTCTGGCTCTCTCAGAAAATAAGAGCTAAGAGAATCCTGAGTCTCATTCAGTGTGGATGATTCTATAAATGTCAGAGGCTTAACGGCGCATCTCAAAGATGCTGCTGGGACCGTCCAAGGTCGAGTAACAAGAGATTTCTATCCTGTATTCCTGTTGAAGGGTGGAGGTGCAGTACAAATCTCCATCACTGTGCTGTGTATCCAATGTACACAAGTACTGAGTACAAGTATCTGTGGTCATCGATCTTACACATGACACCTTCCAGTAAAAAGATGACTCTCTCACCACTTTAACACATTTCCTAGCTGCTTCAGACCTAATATGGCATTCACATCCTCACATATTGATGTGGATCCTCTGTCAACACACACGTTCTTTGTTTGTTGCTGTGTATCATCTGATTTGTTTTTTCCTCAGAAGTGTCGTTGAGTGGAGCCGTGTGACGGAGGGCTGCAGCTCTTTACTGCTGGGTTTGTATTGCAGGGTAATAAAAGAAAATTGCTTATTTAGAAAATGTGTTTCCATTAGGCTTGATGAGCTCTTTCTTTGTCAGACTTTATCAGCCCGTGTGGACTCAATATTAAGGCATGTTTCTGTTTGAAACATCCCTCAATGGAAACCTTCCAGCTGTTGGTTCGGTCTTTGCGATACTCTCTGAGTTTAATTACGTAAACCTACAGAGACAGTGTTTAGTTTAATGTGTACTGACTAACAGGAAACAGATAAAAACATATTTCTTTCCTCAATTATTTCAGAATGTGTGTGACAGAGCAGTGACTCACTTCCTTACAAGCTTATTTTCTGCTGAACACAATGTCACCCTGTAGCTCCATCATGGCTGAGGCTGCATTCAGAAGGACACATGTTGAGGAATATTTGTGTGATCTTCCGATTTTGTGGTCAAAACTCATTAAAGTATTTACATTGTTTGCTTTGTAATGGGAATAATATATTGTTTTTTCCCCTCAACTACTCATTATGGAGTAAATGTTTATCGCACACTATAAAATCAGTAGAATAATAATAGCATCTGCATCTAGAGTGGTTACATGCTGTTGAATAACTTATGACGTTGTTACATGGAGGCTCCGAGGTCCATACCTTTCACAATAAAAGCCCTTCACAGATTCCACTGCTTACCAGGAGAGCGCTTTGCTAAGAAAATAGCTTACAGTAGTGGACATGATAATGGTATCGGTAATGCTAACATTTACTATGGTAACACGCAACAGAGCCCCGTTGACCGAGCAGAGGGAAACGCTCGTTCTGCTGGAGTGGATAGTAAGGGACAAACCTGTCTACGTATTAATACCACTGTCATCTAACAGCACCCGATTGCATCATTAGCACCACGAGCTGAATGAACCAGTTAACCAACTGCTTCTTTGCATAAAAGCAGTTGATTAAAACATGCATTCATTTTATTTTTCAATCTGTGCTAAATTTGAACTGATATTGGTAGTGATACTAAAATATTGAGGCAGCAATGGAACTGCGATGGGCTGTGTTTAGACCCACGTGGACATAACACTTAAAAATAAACTGACCGACTGCCTCCTTCAGGGCTGCTGAGCTGAGGACCAGCAGACACAGGAAGCTCTCCATCATCATCAGGGGCAGACGGGATCAAAACGTGGTAACTTTATCTCACAGGACGATCTGCGTCTGAAAGAAAGAGAAGATTACTTACATTACAATTTCACGTAGCTCCACGGGGTAAAGGAATGAATTAAGCATTGTAATATTTGTTCATTCAAGTTGACTTAACATTCATTACTTAGAATCCATGCGGAAGCCTGAAAAGGGAAGACAATAGCATCCCATGACAATGAAAGTGAATCAAGGAGGAAAATGCTGTGCACTATTAAACCAGCTTCACAATCAGCTCCACCTCACAGGACACTCACATCAGTACAGGACATATGACAGGTCGGCTCCTGTCTCCTTTTGGATGCATAAAGTCTGCCCATTCAAAACTAGCCTGCATCAGAGCACCCTGTGTTTATTGTTCAGTAATAAATCATTTTGTCAGTAATAAATAATATTGTCATTTGTTAGTAGCATCACTACAAAACAATCTACTCCTCGAATATAAAGGAAAAAACTGTTTTCCTTTCAACATAAGTTTTTTAAACCAAAGCCTGTTTAAACATGTTTACATGAGCTGTATGTTACATTGCTGCTTCACTCTTTGCCTCCAATCAGCTCATTGAACCGCAGCTGTTTCTTATTATAATAAATTACATTATTGTAACTCTTTATTTGTTCGCTTTTTAAAATACAGTTTCAATCTTCAACTACTTATTTTGCGTTTATTTTGAGTGTAACACTAGCAGTGCAAACAGCGCTAACACTACAAACAGCGCTAACAGTACTAACAGCGCTAACACTACAAACAGGCTAACACTACAAACAGCGCTAACACTACTAACAGCGCTAACACTACTAACAGCGCTAAAACTACAAACAGCGCTAACACTACAAACAGGCTGACACTACAAACAGGCTAACACTACAAACAGCGCTAACACTACAAACAGCGCTAACACTACAAACAGGCTACCACTACAAATAGCGCTAACACTACAAACAGCGCTAACACTACTAACAGCGCTAACACTACTAACAGCGCTAAAACTACAAACAGCGCTAACACTACAAACAGGCTGACACTACAAACAGGCTAACACTACTAACAGCGCTAACACTACTAACAGCGCTAACACTACAAACAGGCTAACGCTACAAACAGGCTAACAACCAGGGACTCAACTGCTTTTTCACAATATGTGAATTGTTCAATTTGCAAGTGTGTACGTGTACTTCTTCTGCTATGTGTGTCCTTCAGCTTAGTGACCAAACATCACTGCAGCCTGCTGGCAGCACTGTAAGGAGTCATGTACCAAGGCAACTTCCATCAGCTCCACAATATCCGGTTAGAAGTTGTCCCATCATTTCTGGATTTAATCATGTTTCATTGGCTGATTTTCTTTGTGCAGTTTAAACATTGTTGTCATATTTTGTTAGTATGATTAATAAGATTGGGGCATCAGTGCAGGTAATTTCCTTACTTGCAGAAGGAAAGAATGAGCAGTCACATTAGGACGGTGCATGAAGACGAGTCCTGAGGGAAAGATACACATCTCCATGCTGCACCATGAACCGGCTATTAGTTCCCCTCTCGCAGAGAGCTCAATGACTTCATCCGGACACACAGAAACACAGCTATCATCTGTGTGTGTGTCACACGACAACAGAGGGTCTGATTCTGGCCCTGTTGAACAGAGGAGCATTGACTTATGAACAATGACACTCACACACACACCACTCTATGATCACTTGACATGACGTGAGAGCAGGAGTGAGTTGACGTATGAAGGGTTCCTCTGTCCTGTACCTGTGCTTATTAAAAGCACATAGAAAAGGGAAAAACAACACAATATGGAAAACGCAGCTTCATTCTTCAATATCAAATAATAGCAGATTATTCCATCATGAGAATAATGTGTCTGTGGTACATGTAACCAGGGGACCTTGTATAAAAACAAGGTTTGATCATATTTATCTTGATCATACATAATATATAATAACAACCTGGTACATGAAATCTTAAATAAAGAATAAGGTTCCTCTGTCAAACCAGGCAGCGATGATCACGTGACTCAAGATTCTGTTACTGTGTTACGCATTTCTACGTGCATGAAGCCAAACTGCTGCACTTTCTCCTTCTACACAGACTCAGTGTGTGTCAGTGTGTGTGTTAGCAGATGTCAGGTGTCGAGGCCTGCCGCTGCCGGATGTGTGACCTCTGACCTCAGGCCTAAGTACTGCCTCCCAGTAATCACCCTCTGACTTCCTGTCCCGTCTGCAGGACGGCCTTACTTGGACCGCTGGCGTGAACAAGCTCAGCTCTGGGGAGGCTCCTCATTCCATCAATAATTGATTGAATGCTCCTCATTCCAGGATGAAGATGAGCCGGGACGGGGCCGCGGGAGTTCACGTTTAGTAGTAGAATTCACTTGGAGATCCACCAATCAAATGTCGTATATAATTATATTATAATTATTGCTAAGCAAAGATCAATCAATCAATCAAATAAATCAAATCAATCTAATACATTTGATTGATTATAATCTATTAATGTAGCATCCAATCATTTCTGCAGGACACATATTTGGTCCTTCTTTTAGACAGGCTTGTCAAGTGGGCGGAGGAATGGACAAAAAAGTGAATGGATCACAGAAAAGTTAGATTTGCTCAACCTACATCCCTGAAAGTGTTTTTTTTAAGGAACTTTACCAACTTTTTTGTGCTACCTCAGTCTAACAGGGACCCTTACTACTGAATATGGTGCATTATTCATTTTGCTGTTCCCTGATAAAAGACAAAAGTTTTCTCTGGGACCTGTTCAGAAAAAAGAAATAAAAACGGATGTATATACTGTATGTTACCTTGCTGTTGCTCTGAGACTGCCTGTTATATTTTTAATATGTTATTGATTTTTGAGCATAATGCGATTAATCGTCATCTTTGTAATTATAATATTATTATACGACGTTTGATTGGTGGATCTCCAAGTGAATTCTACTACTAAAAGTGAACTCCCGCTTCCCCCCGTCCCGGCTCCCCTTCATCCTCAATCCCCCCTTCAATCTTCGGACGGCCGAGTCGATGGACTAACGAGGAGCAGCCTCCGGAGGATGCGGCCGCTGGATTGAGACGTGGCTACAGAGTGACTGGCAGCAGAACTGTGACAGTGTTTAGTGAGGGAATAAATCGACTGGTCGCCCTGATGGACAGCAGAGAGGATCCAACGCTTGATCAGCTTCTTTCTTCCACACGGCAACAACATCAAACAATAGCAGCTACATGTCAAGCCAAAGCTGCTATTGTTTCCGCGGTGCATTGAGCAGGATGCAAATACAATGTTGCAATGAGCCTGTGAATTGTTCAAAGTATGTTTTAATTGGAAAATTGAGATTTAGGAATAGACAAGTAATTGACACACACAGCACAACAGAAACACGTCTTTTGTTCCACAGAAAGACCATTTCCTGGTGTATTTCTGCACCAAAACTCCACTGGCATTATCGAGCCTATTGGAATTTCCCCGATATTGTCCAACATGAAGACACAAGGGCCATTAACTCCAAATGGATTTCTGTCCCAACCCCTGCTGATGGTGCCAGTGATTATCGTGCTTATCTCTGAATCCCCTCTTCCCAACAAGCCCACATTAAAACGGGTAAGTGGCCCCACCCGCCCTCCCCATCTGGAGGCACCCGCGATCCCCCGAGAGCCCGACCCAGACACCGTGACTGCTGGAGTCAGGCATCAGCACCGCCGGGGTCCCTGCGGGGGGGGAACCAGCCGTGCAGTCTGGTCTGCATGTCCCAGTTCTGATCTGTCACGCGGCACTATGAAGTCGGAGCACTCCTGATCCGAAAACCAGTTTGTTCAGACAGGCATGCCGGTTCCGTGTGTGCTGGTTGTCTCAGGGTCCGAGAGCAGAACAAAGCACTCTCCCTCTACCCAGCTCCATATCTGCACATCTACTGGAGGCTTTCGGGGGGGTCATCGGTCATGAGATGAAGGGACTGACCCCTCTGGTCTCGGCGCCCTCACGCCGGCCACGCTGACACGGATCGTCTTTGAGCGGAAGAAGTCTTAGAGAAGGCGGCTGCTCCTCTCCGGCTCAAATTCTACACATGTGGAGTCTGGACCGTAGCAGCCGGAGCTCATAATACGTTTCTGGATTTCTTTCATCCACTACACACGTTTTATCCCTCACGTTCTCCGGCCGATTCATAATTCAGGCATTAAAATGAATAATACACCACGACTCCAGCGTTTTCATGTCACATTTGGGGCGAGCTGACGCACGGCACCGGGTAAGAACACGGGTCCAGTAATGAACAGTTCAGTGGGATCCATCGTAGGATTTACGTCTATACGTGTGTTACTGTTGTGACCATTTGGCTCAATTAAACAGCTTTGTTGGGAGATTTGGATATAAAACCTGATTGTAACTGAGACAAAGGACCTACGCACATCTGATTCCAGTGTAAAATGAGCTGAGTGCGATGCATCTCAGATGAAGGGGTGACTGTACGAGCAGCTTTAATGCATCACAATGAACATAGATAGCAGGACTATAGAGCGGGTTTTGACGGAAGGTGTATTTTGAACGGTGCTAAACTCGTATTAACGTCCTTTTCATTACCGAGCATATTTATTATGCAAACTGAAGCCGTGTTCATTTTAATACAAAGTTTATTTGTATACAGTAGGTGAACCTTTTACAGCAGCGAGTAGGATGCATGTACGTCCACACTAAAGTACACCATCACCTCCAGTGTTTCTCCCATAGTGGGGGCGCCCTGCACCCCCCACGAAAGTCTCTGTGTTTTCTTTTTTACAATTATAATTATCTGTGCAGGGGGGTGGGGGGAGGGGGGGGTCCTTCCCAATAGGCCCAAACAGACACGAGCACGCACACCTGAGCACGCTCCCACCAGCGGACTGAGAGAATAATGGTGCCCCCCCCAATTAACCTCGGGGAAACACTGACCTTGATTATTCACGGCTGTTTGGGTCCATCAGAAAGCGCAACTTTCGGCGTATCATAAATAAAAGTAATTACTGCAAATAAACGGCCGAGCGATAAAAACCTAACTCAAAACTATATTTTAATGTTGTGTGTAATGCAGCACACGCTGTGTTTCTTTGCAAAGGGTTCAGCTATTGAGAAGGCATGTTGTTTTTTCTCAACCTGATGTTGTTGTTGAGCCTTCAGGGGAAAAGCCCAAAACCAGAGGATTGAGAAGCTGAATTTGTCAGAAATGTCATTTTGAAAGTTGTATTAGAAACGATTGCATGCTTATTATGACAAAACAACATTTTGACAACATTATTTTGGTCATATATGAAAAGGTAAATACAGTTACATTACCCCCAGATTTCCATTGTATTATTAATATTATTATTCCCGTTAATTTCCATGATACGTTTCCAACGAATATTCACAGAATTCTGCTCCATCCTGCGTCGTCTCCTCCGAAGACACCGGAGACAAACTCAGGACGCAGGACGCTCTGCTCCACGTAACGGAGTCAGCTCGGCCGTGGAGCCGCATGATTTAACCCCGCGTGGAAACCATTCCTTTCGGCCAGTGGAAGCACCGACCCCCCCCCCCCGCCCCCCCTCGCCTCCCCCCCGCAGGATGGAGGCGCACTGCCCGGAGGCACCTCTTCCAGCCGATGAGAGGACCAGACTCCCCCGGCGGTCCCGGAGGACTCGCGCACGAGGTCACGTTGGAAATATGTAACAGGAAGTTTGTGGCGTCCACCCGACCGACACTTGTGCTATTGCGTCAAAAGCAGCACTAATACGCGGGGGAGCCGTTCACGCCGACGCTGCGGGGGGACACAACGTCCAGCTGCACCCCGACAACCCGCATCCTCCCGGCCGTCCATCACCTGGTGCCGATGGACGGCCCGAATAGAACAATACAGGACGCGGCGGAATACGAAGGCGTTCGGCGGCAGGTGCGGGTTTGTTTACCTCGCCGCGATGCGGATCTTCTCCTCGGCGGGCAGCTGCGGATGCGGAGCCGCGGATGATGCGCAGGGGGCCGCGGGATGCCGCCGTCGTCGGTGTGACCGGAACCGGGTTTCAGAAGACAGAAGCGACCCGGACGCGCTGCTCGCAGCTTTGTCTCTCTCTCTCTCTCTCCCTCTTTAATGTCTTGTTCTTCTCCACGTCCTCGCTTTCTTTCGATCACCTTCTGGTCTTCCTTTTAGCAGCGTCAAGCGGGCGAGAACACACCAGAAGTACTTCCGGTTTACCAGTGACAAAATAAACCTTTGTTGGGGGCACGAGGGAATCTGCCCCTCTACCACGTCTACCACTAGCTGTTACAAAAACACATATATTATAATTTAGTCCGTATTACTCAAGAGAATCCCCCTACCCCGTAATTTGGGGTTGGGTTTGAACCTGGTGAGACTAATATACGTCCACCAGGAATTACACGCTTTTATTCTGAAGTTAAATTGAATCACTTCCGGTGTTGTTTTTGTGGCTTGATGCAGCATCTTCGCCGTTGGACGGCGTCTGTTCGCGTGTCCTTTTGTTGTGGGCTCTTCAGCCGCCTGGACGTGAAGCACAGAGGGGCCCCGCTCCCCGGGGACCAGCGCGGGCTTAGAGACCCTTTAATTAAACCATGCTATCATTCCCACCTCGGACTCCGATTTAGCATTTTAATATGCTTCACTTTTATAAAATATTACAGTAAAATATATTTCCAAATAAAAAAAAAATGTTTTATTTGTATTATTATTACTAATACTGATAATAGTTCATCTCAATTTTGAAAGTAAGATTTGGTTTCAATTTGGAGCCAACTCTGTCTTGAGTAATTTATGTCTAAAATGCTTGATTTCATCTACCCGTATTATAATTCAGAATATTATTCATTATTAAATATTTCACAGAAGGCTAACAGTCCCTGTTTTATAATAACAGTGAGAATGGAGACAAACAGACACGTTTGACAGCATTTCGTTGCGAAGTTGATTGGCCTCCTTATTGTTGCAGAGGAAGAACGGAACATAATGCATCAACAATGAATGAACAATGAAAGTCATATTCCGAAAGCTGTGAAATCCTCTCTGTGAGAGTGACAGCATGATTGTGCAATCTGTGGAGTAGTGGATTACTATGTGAGCAATAAGCACTGATCCAACTCTATGATTTCAGCTTCACGGTCATTAGAACTCAGCAGGCAACGCAGAAAGTGCGACCAATTAGACACGGTCATCTTCAACACGCAGGCAGCAGACTGCATGCGGAGCAGCAGGTCCTTTCTAATTGGTAATTACTCAAATCACAGTGCCCCAAGACTGAAATGTGCCCTTTAATCATGGACACTTTACACTATTTTCGGCCTTTAATTAATGTGCATGCTAATTCCTACATCTGAAACGAAATTAATATTGTAAGCGGCAATAACTGCTCAAAATAGAGGAACGTTGAAAAGTCAGTACAAAGCTTCATAGTTAAAAGAACATCGGTTTAAATATGAACTCAGACCTGAAATCCAACATCCACACGAGGACAGTTTCACAGACTTTATCACCATAACAATATATCAAGAATAACAGAAATGTCCCAGCGAGATTTGGAAACACGTTGATATGTGAACTCAACTACACGTCTTACTAAATCATTGTTGTACCTGAATGCAACAGCTGATTCAGGACGCTGCAGCTCCCCCCTCACTAAGATCATAGTGGCTCGTTCCAGTTGTCTGAGAAGGCTTTCTGTCCCCAGAAGCGACACTGCACATGTAAAAGCAGTGTGCACTTTCTATTTATCATTTATCATGTGGACAGCATATACGGCATCACTGCATAATTAAAACGAACCGCTGCAACTCGGTCCTTTTATAATCGTTTTCGTCTGCACTTTAAGTCTTTCAAATTGCCTTTTTGCCAAAATGTGCTGTAGAAATGAACTGTTCACCCCGCCTTTCCCCTTACAGCTATTTACATGTAATAGTGTGAGCTTGTTTTGAAAAGAACTAAACTAAACTTTTATAGTTTTCATTTAATAGAAATAAATAAAATTAAAAAACAGAAGTAATGTCTTGGAAAAGGTTCTTCAGCCTCCACTCAATCGTTCTTTTACTGTCTAACTGTTCTTTAATGGCCAATGTGTCCCGGCAGCTTGAATAAAGCATTATCTTATCTTATGAACTCTGCAGATCCCTGTTGCTCTCTGCAGTGTTTATTATTAATGTCATTTTATGTGCCCCTTCTATCAAACCACCTTTAATTAGTTCAAAATTCTAACTTTTCTTTTACCTCATGCAGCGTTTCAGCCCTAGAATAGCTTGTTGAAATCCTTTATTCCGTTTTATTACTCACACTGAAGCAGCACCGTGACCTCAGCGCATTTAGTTTCACATCTGGAAAGAATATTATAAGCTAATCAGTTTCCCAATAAATACAGAACATAAAAATAAAAGAAACACAAAAGGTGTGTGAAGCACACACATGGCCACATACAATGTGATACTCTAATAAGCATTTAAAAATGCCAAATAATAAACGGTAAATAAACACTAAACGAATATATTCTGATGAGAATTGAGTCATACTGTCCAATTCAACCGCATTCTCTGCCCCTCCTCTGCGTCTTCTGCACCCAAGACCTGCTGAACCCCCACGGCCAATGTCTGCGTCCCCCCATGCACCCACCCAAACACCAACCGCTGCCTGTCTCTCTGCTCCCTATTCGTTTTAATTTGGGTTCTCCGTGCACAAAAAGCATCTACTACCTGTCACGCGTCATCTTCCCCAGGGTGGCTCTGCGTGCGTGCGTGTGCGTGTGTGTGTGCGTGTGCGTGTGTGAGCGTCTGCTGTCACACGTATCACAAGTTTACGAAGAGCGATGTGCAGCAGGAGCAAATTAATTGAATAAATTCCATAATGAAATCGCACAGTGACAAATGTTTGGAGTTTGAAGATCTGGTTTCCTTGTGTGACAGCAGACGGAGATGCATGAGGTCACATGTGTTGTTCAGTCGGTAGTTTAACATCAGAATAATTGGAACCGAATCACATTTACTGCCCCGTAAGAATTCGATGCTTTAGGGGCAAGTGCGTAACATTTATGGAGATCTTTTGGAATATAATATGGAATAATGTTGCTCATTATCTGTGGATGTTTTCCCGGACTTGAACGCGGATTGTGGATGTGAGTCAGTTGAAGCTGTTTTCATAGCGATTTGTGCTTATCTTGGTTCTATCGTTTTCTCTAATAAAACCTTTTTCTTAATTACAACAAACACGTCTCTGCCTGATCCACAGTGACTTATTTATTGAGGTATTTCATTTCTCGGGGTGTAACATCTTGGTGTCTCCCCCTAAAGCCCCGTCACACGTGGTTGAGTAATGTTTGAAAGCCATATTGAGTTTTCAGATTTAATGTCCGCCTTCTGGAAGGTGTGATGTCACATACGTTTACTACGCTGTCCCCTCGTCCGCTTCATCTGAAGGACGGTTGGTTAGCAACGTTCCACGTGTCAAGATGGCTGTGGTTGAACTACAAGTTGTTCTTTTAATCAGGGGACGGAATTGAGGGAAACACTGCGGCAGCAGCTGAAGGTTGGACGTCGGCAGGCCACAACGCACCAGAGGACGGAGACGCCGCGTCGTGGGTTTGACTGGGAACCAGCTACAGTTCACTATGAGGCTCATAAAACAGGTTCATAAGGAATTAAAAAAATGTAATCATTCATTTGACTTTTATTTAACCAGGTCAAATCAATTGAGAACCAATTCTCATTTAAAACTGAGACATGTGGTTTGTTTTGTGACTCTTAGCAGTAATAAAGGAAAACAGCAATGCAGCCAATGGTGACTTAAACTCTGCAGCACGTAAACGTATTTTACCTGGAACAGGTCCTGAGGGTTTGGCTCAGATGCATGTGGATAGAGCATAAATTACATTTGGATTAAACTGCATGAATTATGGACCCCTCTTACTTCAATTCATTAGAAGGTTTGTGGTGATTAATTCCATAAGCCGTGCCAGCATTTGACAGGGGACCTGGAGCTGGACCCACCAATAAGAAATCCTGGCATCACTTAACAATATCAGAACATCCATCGTTTTTCCGTGACATGTCAAAGTCACGGTTTTGCCCAAATCTCTTTTCATAATGTTTCCAGCCTCGTATTCAGACTCATCCCCATCGTTTGCACCTCGTATTGATCAGCCCAGTGCGGCCGTGCTCATGTTTTACAGTATATCACCCTGGGTGGTGAATGACAGGCAGGCCAGACCCCAGAAACCCCCCCGAGGCTGCGTCCATCTGTTGCCCCGGGGGCTGCGCGATCAATACCGGCGATGGTAAATGACGGCTAAAAGCCTGCTGAGAAACCCGAGAGGCTCTTTTAGCCCGCGGCCCGCGCTGTGGGTCCTCGCCCTGCTCAGCTGTGGACCCAAAGGGGGTTGGAGCCGGGACACCAGTGTCTTCAATCCAGCTGCCGTTTTGATCCAGCTGTTGAGGTGGGCCAAAAACTTTGAGGATGCTTCAGCCAGCACGATGAGCTCAAGAAGAGGCTCCGTGGTTTCTGCCCAGTCCTCCTTCATGGCGTGAATACGCGCCGCGACTGTGACAGGTCGATGTGGTTTGCAAGAACGCACGATGCCACCATTTAACCGTCTCATCTGTCAGAAACCGTCAGAATGTGTAACTATTATAGGTTAAATGTACAACTCTTAAAATATTCATCTTAAGTTTTTACTAGCCTTTACTTTATTTTTAAGTATGTTTTGCCATCTCTGTCGCACTCTGAGATCTGCTGATGAAGTGTGCATTATAAATAAATGTATTATTATTATTATTAATGCAAAGCTTTCCTAGGAATAAGAGCATTACCACATTTAGCCGTGCGCCGACACCACGTACCCCCGAGGTGATTGATGTAACCAATGGAGAGTATTCATCCCTTTTCATCCCACAATCAAAGCAGATGTGTTCATGTCGTGTGAGTGACAGTATTCAAACACGGCCTCAGGAGCGTGCAGCACCCAATCACATGATCCTGTCTCCCAACAAACGCGTTGAATGTATTTAAAGCCTACGTATGTTATTTTTTATGCTATTAAAAATCTATTGTATTGTGAACGTTTTGTTTTGATAATATCGTCCTCAACATACAGAAACCACGGGAAGAGAAAACCCCTTTGATACTGCAGATATATGTACTATTTTATAAGGCACT